GAGCTTTTGAGTCTGTAACTCTTTATGGGTTGAAAGTAGAAAGCTCCATCTTTCTCCCAAGGAGAATCTGGTGGTTTCAAACTGCTGACCTTGTGGTTAGCAGCCCAACACATAAGCACCGCGCCACCAGTGTTCCACATGACCAGTTAAGTTGACACTTAACTGAGCCATTACTGCTATAGTGTTATTCGTGCCTTGCAATTTGGTGTTTGTTATTGCCAGATATACATTGTTAATGACCCCAATAGAGTATATTTTCCACCATTATCATTGTTAAGGAAAAGACAAAACAGACTTGGAGAGAACTATTTGAAAATTACAAATATTTTTGGTAAGGAATTTTTATCCAGAAAATCTACAGAATCCCTTAAATCCATCAACATGTAAATAACCCACTTTTTAAAATTAGGCAAAGGACTAGAACAGTCATTTCACCAAAATATATACATACAGCTGGCAAGGAAATATGTCATTTCATCATTAGAGAAATGCAAATGAAAATCTCAATGTTTTTATTCTCCGTCTTCTAATTACAGTCCGTTCCTGTCTGTTTGGCCAGAACTTGTGTTTTGAAAAATGCTGATTTGTTCAAACTGGATTCAAATACTTGGGGACCAGGTGAACAACTCCTACATTTGCTTACAAATGAGTGTTCTGTGAGAAACACAAGGTGAACACACAGTGCACCTGACTGAATCAAGCTAGGTGTAAAAATAAACAAGGACAAGGCTCACCCTTCCCCATCTGGTGTTAGAACTTGCCATGGGAGGCATGAGAAGTGCCTTCCACCACTTCTACAAAGCCACAGCTGCAGTCCTCGGCCTGCCCCTTTCTTCTTTTCTCTCAGCCAGTTTTGTACGGCTGCTCTGCCTTTTCTCTCTCTGCTCTCTCTTCTTTTCTGAGCCCCCCTTGACCTCTTTCTCTTGCACACAGTGGCGGGCAGGGGCGATGGGGAAACTAGGCGAGGCAGAGCGAGGATGGATGACCCACTCCCATAAACACGCTTCCGGTCTTTTTTAAGGAACGGTGCCGTGCTTCCTGTAGCCTTTATGTACTTCTAAACTGTTTGATGTGTATAAAACTACCACTTTATTGGTTTCTTTCTTTTGAATGTATTAGTGATGAGCTTGTGAGTGTAATGATGAACAAAGACACCACTGCCCTGAGCAACTGCCCTGGACCTTTCAGTTGAAGGACCATTCACTCATTCCTTGAGCTATCTGCAGCTGGGGGGTGGACAGCAGTGATCTGCAGTGGGGGGTGGACAGCAGTGATCTGCAGTGGGGGGGGGACAGCAGTGATCTGCAGCTGGTGGGTGGACAGCAGTGATCTGCAG